AACCTCGTTCATATTGGCAGGGACATCCTGCACTGTACTTTTCTTATGATAACTACTTGCTGCCTGGTTTCTCAAGATCAGTTTTCGGTGTTTATGTTTTATTCTGTATCTGTATTTTGGATGTACATAAGTAGTTAGACACATCAAATTTCACTTCTGAGATAAATTATTTTCGGCCTATTCTTATCTCATCAATTTTGTTCAGTCATAATGTCTGTACGGTACTCCTGAACATGCCGATTAAGGATCTCTTGTCCGCAATTTGATATTTGTGTAATTACAGTAATTGTACAGTGGTCCCTCGATTAACGAACACAATTGGTTCCACAGAGTCGGTTGTTAATCAAAAATTCTGTTAACTGAATATTATTTCAATGGGATATTGGGTAATTTGTTCCAACTCACAGAAAAAGTATACATACAAAGTACTGTATACCGGTAATAGAATTAACAAAACATTAAATATAAACTAAATACAGTACTGTACTGTACAGTATACTGTACAATAATAAATAAAAAACAATAGAATACTGTACTGTATTTTCACTTATTTTGAGGTGTGTGTATGTTGTATTCCCGGCAGCTTTGTTATATATCAAACAGCTGATTGTAGAGGCAGCCGATGATGACATGCCATATTCTTTACAGAGTGCATTGTGTTCAATGCCTTCTTATGTTTCAAAATAATTTCCAGACTGTATATTATCAATATGTTAACTAAATTTCAGAATGACCAATAATTTTAATGTAAAAATGCAAAAACATTCAAGAGACCAACAAACTGGATGTTCACTCCACTGTAAACAAAGTTGAACTGAGAAGGCTATGGGTGATTCAATCAGTTGATGGGCACACTAAAACTGTTCCCTGTATTGTATATATTATCAATATGTTTACTAAATTTCAGAATGACCAATAATTTTAATATAAAAATGCAAAAATATTCAAGAGCACAACTTTCTTGATATTTACTCCACTGGAAACGAATGTAAACAGAACCTATTATTGTATTGGCGGCTAGCTGATCGGCTGATGCGCGCAACAAGCGTGTTTCTCATAACTCTGGTTACCGAAATTACCTACAGATTTTGTAAATTATGACCAATAATTTCAGAATACAGACAAAATAAGCCCTTACAGAAATTGGTGAAATTTTTAAGATAATTTGTTTTCAATACTATGAAAAATCACAAAAATAATAAAATTTATTTCATGTGTATTTCTTGGTGGTTAGTACAATACTGTACAAGAGTCAGTAGTGCCCCTCCCAGTAACTCTTATTGCACCACCTTACCTCACCACCTCACCTAACGCAGCACTCAACATCGTTTGTGATAAGTTAAAGTCAAGTGTTTTGTATATTTATTATGTTAAAGTATAGTCTCCATTTACGAGGTCAGTTGAACCCGTGGAGGTCCGCGTAAATAAAGTAAACGAAATAACAGAACATATGGGATTAATTTAAATAGAGACTGGGCCAATCCCAAACTCCCTTTTTCTGTCATGGTTGTAGTAAAATAGTATCTTAATTTTATGATGGTATGCACACATAATATAGAAGAAATATCAAAGAATATACTGTACCAGGTAAAAGAAAAATCAAGGATTAACACTTACGTTAGTAGATGAGATGGCTAGGCACACGGGATGGGGATGGTTTCAGGCGGCACATTAGTGGCCCTCCGTGAATCACTTATCACTATTCTCCATAGATGTCAGGCCTCCTGACATCTATGTGTAATCAAGATTATTTTCTTTAGTCAACACTGCACTGCACTATATATGTTGTCAATTTGTTAAATAAATTTCAGAATGACCAATAATTGTACTGTAAAAACATAAAAATACTCTGTGTTCAAGAGACCCAAGCAAGATGTTCCTCCACTGAACAGAGATACAAACTGAGGCCTGGTGGGTGAGTAAAAGTGGCTGATGGGCACACAAAACTAGTTCCCTGTACTGAATATGTTAAATAAGTGTTAAACAACTAATATTTTAATATAAAACTTAGAAGAATATTGAATAACACAACCTTTTGATATTTACTCAATTGGAAACAAATTTATGCCCTAGAACGATTTCTTAGAATTTCATTAACCGGACGTTAGATTACCGAATTTTGTTAGTTAACGAATTGAAAATTCTTATGAAAGTAATTAGTTTAACGAGAATTAGTTAACAGGAATTGTGCTGAAAGTCACTGTAATTAAAGATCTTTAGAATATTTAAAAAGTTACTGGACGCTGTGCTTATAAATAACCTTTATGCTTTTTTATTTCTTAAAAATATAGATTATCTTTCTCGCGATCAAATTAAGTTACAACACTAAGGGTCATACAATGGATTTTGTTCAATTTCATACACAGGTACTGTACTACCTGTACTTTACATGCTAATTAGGATCTGGTTCAAATAAAAAATCGGTTGATTAGTGTTAATTAATTGTATAAGCATCATTGTCATTCCAAACCCCATTTAATTCATATTACGCTATATAACATTCAAATCACAGCGCTTGTAGAACTCAGAAAACGGGAAACATTGATAAAGGATAACTCACCTACTCAATGTTACTAGACCATGTGTTGTATTGTACCCTGGACAGTTATCTAATGTTAATTGTATGTATTCATAGCATTGGAGAATTCAGGGTATCCATAAGATGAATGTTAAGTCCAGTTAACGGCTAGTGTACTGTAGGACTAAGTGTGATCAGGGTTTGAAGGTCATACTATTCGTCTGTGGTGATGTGCAATATAACTTCCAGATACCATATGAAAATACAATGATCTGGAAAAGGATAAAGGTATCATTACTATGTGAAGTGTTAAGTGATCTAAACTATGTTCAAAAAAAATATCGTGTATACCAATCTCGATGCTAGGCTTTGTTTGGGTTGGCGCTTAGGCGCCTGGTGTGCCTCGTTGATATTATAACCCAATGAATATACCCACGAACTAGCAAACCAAGACCTTACCTTAGTGTGTAATTTAGGATTAAAATATGTGTTTACATCGGCATGAGTGACAATATACGAAGTGTTCAGGTGAGAACCAGTAAAAATAAAAAGTAAAAATTAGATTGGAAACAGGCCTCGTGGTGGCGAACGAGGCACTGCCCTCAGTCCCTCCGTTCTACCGTCACCTCAGGTCAGTGTCCTATCGGGCTATATCCCCCTATAATTAAGGCTTATATAGAAGTTATTACAGTTTAAAGCTTTGCCTGATATATAAGTGTAATAGTAATGTGTTAGGGGTGTGATAACCGCCGTGAGCGTATTTCTCCAGTACCTCCATTCTGCAATCACCTCAGGTGCTATGCCCCGGCAGCCATTATCCTAGGCGTCCCAACAGGTGGTGACTACTCCCAGCTATGCCAATCCTCTGTAGACGTTGGATATCCAACACCCTCCAAATGAGTAAGAACAAATAAGGAAGCAACTCTGCGGTGGAGTCTCTGGGTGAAGCCCTCGTCTTTGCACCCGCAGGCGGATTGATGCGACGAGGTGCCTGTTGTGTATACCTTAAAGTCACAAGGAGTTCCATACCTGCAGGTGTGGAGGGTAACGGTGTGTTGAGATGGTGCTTACTATGTATGATAACCGGCGGTGCTATTCCCTTACAGGTGGAGCAGTCTGATGTGTTAAGGGATAGTGTAAAGAGGAATGACAGTAAGGTGGTCACATGTTATGCAATAAGTATGTGGATGACATGCATTAATGTAAGACGTTTGGTGCCCATCTGGGTAACAACATTTTCGTTGTTCTTCTGAGGAAGACCAATTCATTTGTATGTTTTTTAAGTATGCTTTATAGATAATTTAATTAAGACATGTTATGGTTTCACCCTTCTTTCCCCTTATCGATCTGGTCAATGGAAAACCTATCCCAATGCCTAGTCCTCTGCGCTACCGAGCTACATGTTGTCCAGAGGGGTCTGGGCAGCGACCCTTAGAAATTAAAATTAGGTTAGTATTTTCTAGCATTAGTGACCCCAGTCTGGCAGTATATAATGATTTGAAATAAGTAAGATATTTAAAATTTTTTAAGAAGTCAATTCTGTGTGCCCCATTACAGTATAAAATCCTCTATATCATGTTCCTCAACAAATTTGTGTCCATTTCTTCCCATGTTGCGTGCATTTTATGTTTAAGTAAATTCATCTGAACAGTACAGTAGGGCAGTGAAATTTTGCTCAAAGCTACTCTTGAGTACAGTATCACCTTTGCAGCTGTCAGATGTGCATTCCAGTTAACGTCCTTCTACCTTGGTGTTTGTCTGGTAACTGAAGGTGAAATATGGCTTGTGACTGTTCCAGGATACTTGAGACAGGGTGGGAAGAATCATGATGTATCTCATACTTGCATAGGACTCCATTGGACTGAAACAGTTAAGAGGATATTCATGCTAAGAAGTGATGTTTGACCCCACCAGGCTAGAAGGGTTGGACGACTGAGAGACCCATGTATGATTGAGAACTAGTTGTTAAGTCAGTTGTTGTCAAAGTGTAACAAGATGTTTCTCTTCTAGAGCTGCAGTGAGCTCTTGTACTTGACAAGCATTGGTTCACCTCTCATTTTTTAAATGGGATTTCAAGATCATTCCCAGATTTTCATTTCCATTTTTTAGTCCATATATTTTCTACCATATTGTTTTTACTATTAAGACTATCAATGATATACTGTACGGTAGTTTGTACCTGTGGGTGGGGGGGGGGGGGTTGTATTTCCTCACCTTTGCTGCTGGATGTTATTGATGTTGTGATGGTTTCCAAACTTAATTTTCTTGTACCCATCAACACAATATTGCATAGATCCCTTGTTCCTAGGTATAGGAATTTGCTATTTGATTTTGGGTTGAGTGTGTCAGAGGTGAAGGTTAATGTATAGCTGGCCGAGAGGTCTATGTGAAGGTTGTGACTATTTTTATCTTAAGTTTATTAATGTTATTGTAGTCATTTTTAGGATTATTTCACTGATATGTTTTTCTTTCTTTCCCACAGATATGAATTGGACAGTGGAAAAAGATGAAGTAGATTGTGAGAACTTTGTTGGGTGCAGTTGTAAAGAACAGTGTGCAAGACAAGTATTACCAACTGAAGGAAAGAATTCTAAGTATACAAGAAATTATTCAATGTTGAAATAATTAAAAACTTGTGTGCAAATTCACCCCCTCATAATACTTTTGTCAATTGTAGTAATATTTAACCAGCCATCACAAGTAGTGTACTTGTAGTATATCAGCCTGAGTATCATCAGAGGAACTGTACATATAACAAGAGTATATAATTTTTGTACTCTTCCCTGTTGAGTGTTACTATAGTGTATGTTGTAAGTCAAAAACAGTGTTTGTTAATTTGTATATTAATGACAACTAAAGTTATTTGTGTAACTCATTCTTTACACTATTTTTCACATTTAATCAAAGAGGTATTGAGGAACCTTATTAATAATGGTGTAGTCACATCACAAACTGGATCTTCCATCACACTTGCCTCCCCACTGTCCACCCATCTCAGCATCAATACATCAGTGTCAGTAAATCACATTCACTAATAGATTTGTTTCAGTTGTGTTTGTTGTTTTTCAAATATAATTAACAGTAACAAGATATTAATAGCTCTTGTAGGAGGAAACCATTTCCCAGTTCAGAGTCACTAAAACCTTTGAACACAATACACACAGTTTTATAATGGAAGGTCACTCAGAGGAACAGTCGGAGTCTCCCAGAGAATTGTCTGTAAATTCACATCAGGTAACAAATTTGAAAGATGACTTACACCAGAAACTGTTTGCGTGTCCAGAATGTCAAAAAGGTTTTCCACAAAAATATAAATTAAATTACCATATGAGAATTCATACAGGAGAGAAATCATATCAATGTTCTGAGTGTCTGACAGACTTTGCACATAAATGTTGTCTATATGTACACATAAAAAGTCATACGGGAGAGAAACCTTATCAGTGTTTTTTGTGTTTGAAAGACTTCGCACTTAAATCTTCTTTAGTTTCACACATGAGAATTCATACAGGAGAGAAACCTTTTCAGTGTTCTGTGTGTCTGAAAGATTTCACACATAAATCTTCTTTAGTTGCACACATGAGAAGTCATACAGGAGAGAAACCTTTTCAGTGTTCTATGTGTCTGAAAGACTTTGCACATAAATCTTCTCTATATGCACACATTAAACGTCATACAGGAGAGAAACCATATCAGTGTTTTTTGTGTCGGAAAGACTTCTTACATAAATCTTCTTTAGACGCACATATGGGAAGTCATAGAAAAGAGAAACCTCATCAGTGTCCAGAATGTTTGAAGGACTTTCAAGATAAATCTAATCTCAAAAGACATATGAGAATTCATACAGGAGAGAAATCATATCAATGTGCTGAGTGTCTGAAAGACTTTGCCCGAAGAGGTGCTTTAGCCGCACACATGAGAAGTCATACGGGAGAGAAACCTTATCAGTGTTCTCTGTGTCTGAAAGACTTCGCACTTAAATCTTCTTTAGATGCACACATGAGAAGTCATACGGGAGAGAAACCTCATCAGTGTTCTGTGTGTCTGAAAGACTTTGCACTTAAATCTTCTTTAGTTGCACACATGAGAAGTCATACAGGAAAGAAACCTTTTCAGTGTTCTGTGTGTCTGAAAGACTTTGCACATAAATCTTCTCTACATGTACACATAAAAAGTCATACAGGAGAGAAACCATATCAGTGCTTTTTGTGTCTGAAAGACTTCTTACATAAATCTTCTTTAGACGCACATATGGGAAGTCATAGAAAAGAGAAACCACATAAGTGTCCAGAATGTTTGAAGGACTTTCAAGATAAATCTAATCTCAAAAGACATATGAGAATTCATACAGGAGAGAAATCATATCAATGTGCTGAGTGTCTGAAAGACTTTGCCCGAAAAGGTACTTTAGCCATACACATGAGAATTCATACGGGAGAGAAACCTTATCGGTGTTCTCTGTGTCAGAATGATTTTGCCCAAAAAAGTTTTTTAGTCACACACATGAGAAGTCATACGGGAGAGAAACCATTCCAGTGTTCAGAATGTCATAGAGGATTCTCTGAAAAACGTTCTGTAGTAAAACACATGAAAGTTCACAAAGTAAAACCCTTTCACTGTGTAAGATGCAAGAAAGTCTTTAAGGAGAAAGAGAATTTAACATTACATACACAGAGATGTTCCCAGATTCACCAAGTGCCTAACTCACATTATAATGAAGGTGAAAGCTGCCAGGATTTCCACCATGACTTGAGCTTGTCATCCCAACCAACAGTGGAGATGGGTGTTTCTGAAGGAGTGAAAAAGTGTGTTTCTGAAGGAGTGAAAATGGAAACTAATTGTGATCCACTCTCAGAAGCTTCACCAGGGCCTGAGATAATTGATCAATCATCTTTAAAGATGGAGTGCCAGGAACAAGCAGTTTGTATTAAGGAAGAATTTTGAAGTTGTTTTTGTTGAATACACTGTATTGTACTTGTGCTACTGATATTCTTATTAGACTGAACTTCATGTTATGTACATTTTGTGAATAAAATCGTTACATTATACGATTGAAATAAAAAGATATAAAATTTGAAACCATTTGAAATCCCAAACATGACTTGTGGGTACATTGGTGGCAGTCATTTCCCTACCCAAGTGCAGGTCTCTGGCAACTGTACAGGTACAGTACCTTTTTTTTTATACAAAAGTTCTGTTTATGTAATTTTGTAATACAGTAGAACCTCCTTATTTCTAACTGCTCTTACAAACTTTGCTTAATCAAATGAATTTCAAATTCAAACAGATTGTTCAACATATATCCTTAGTGAAACATGGCCTTTGTTATTCTATATGTTTCATATGCCAAAAATAAACAAAATCTGTATAATAAACAATAAAAATGATTCATAGTGCATCATAAAATATAGTAACATTTTTTCTACTACAAAAAAAAATCTACTGTAATGTGTACATCACTTCCTCTTTCTTCACAGTCATTTAAAATTTGAGTACTGATCTGAGGCTCAGGCTTTCTAGACCTCCTCCCCCCCCCCCTCCAGCAAATACATAACATGGCTATTTTCTGTCTCAAGTCGTCGTTCTTCAATATTGATCCATGATCCAACTCTCACCTGTGACTGTTGGGAGAAATGTGGGATAGCCTCCTTTTGCCTGTGTCTCCTCGAACATAGCTAGAATTTGAGCCTGTCCAAATTATATTGGCCTTGTTTAGAAGAAAAGAAAAAATACTACAACACCACCGACAAAGCTATTTAGTAATTTATGCAAGGCCATTAACGTATTCGTCTGTATTATGTTTGCATACACGTCATTTTCTCGATTTAACTGGTAATACTACGACTAAGTTTAGTCTCGCCACAAGATGTGTCAACTGCATATTTAAGACACATTAGCTACTGTCATCCATTCTATTAATTGTGTTCCCAGTGTATATTGTGTTCAACTATGGTGTTCCCCTTCCACAACATGGCCTAAAAGAATCACAGTCACACAATGACTTACCAGCGTCGCCCATGAAATCACTACCGTATAAGAGCGAGTGAGTCGGCTGTGTACTCTTCATTGCAATGAAGAAACAATATATAATAAGTTCACATTTAAATAGGTGTGGGGCAATGGAGTCAATCTTTGTGGAGAAGTGAGAAAGTGTAGTAGCTGAATGAGGCAAGCTACAAATTACAATAATGAATACAGTACTGAATATCAATGCATAACACATAATCAAATATGAATACAGTCTCTCCTCGACTTACGACAACCCTGACATACGACGGCCCTGTCTCCTCCTCTGCTTCATCCAATTAATGTTGTCTCCATGCTTAATTAAAAAAATTTATTGAGGCCCCGTGTGCATTCAGCTGACTACATTAAAGGTAAGTGCACAGTAACACTTATTGATCACTTTCAAACCCAACCACAGTGGTCGTCTTCTCAGAATTTTAAGTGCTTGGAATATTAAAACAAAATCGACACCAAAACAAACAACAGCTAAAAGTGGAGGACTTATCCAGATATCCATACTTATAACAGATCAACATTAAACCTTGTCATCACTGTTTTATGGTTATTTCTATTCCCGTGTGGGTTAACCATGATTATCTGCACTTTAGAGCATGCTTAACTCTAT